AAGGAAGGAAGGAAGGAAGGAAGGAAGGAAGGAAGGAAGGAAGGAAGATCACAAGATGGCAGCATAGAGATACAGAAGACCTGAACTCCTTCCTGCCATCTAGTGATTATCTAATTTTTTATTACCTGGATACAGTACAGCTAGTCCTCGACTTACGACTACAATTGAGCCCCAAAATTCTGTTGTTAAGTGAGACATTTGTTAAGTAAGTTTTGCCCATTTTATGACCTTTCTTGCCTCAGTTGTTAAGTGAATCACTGCAATTGATAAATTAGTAGTCGGTTGTTAAGTGAATCTGGCTTCCCCATTGACTTTGCTTGTCAGAAAGTCACAAAAGGTGATCACGTGACCCCAGGAGACTGCAACCATCCTAAATGAATGATAAATTTTGGAATTTTGTTTTTGGAAATTTTTGGAATTCTGGCACAGATAAAGACAGAGTACACGGGCTGCTTGCAAGATGAGAAGACTGGATAACAATGGCAAGGAACTGGTTGGATGGAGAAGAGACAAGTAATTTTGCTCTGGTAATATAGTTTGCCAATTCCCCCTCCTGAATTTTAAAAGAGAGTACTGTGGAAAAGTGCATTATTGGATAGTCTACCCAAATAGCAGAGTATTTATATAAAGTATGGTGAGATAATCACTATACAATGGCATTATTGCTATCTGGATGTATTATGAATGTATCAAAAAGGCACACTGCATATTAAAAGAACAGTTAAAAAAACCTAGCTATCAGTTACTCTCTTAAGAACATAATTCTACAATCACAAAAAGAAACAAGATAATTGATCAAGATAATAAAAATAATTTTAAAACTGTGAGTATATTACATGGTACATAATAACTGCTTTGTTTTCTCAGCCTACTTGGGCTCAGATTGAAGTTTGTCATGTATGTTCAATATATAAAATCATAAGGCTAGTCTTCAGGTAGATTCAGCCAATAGCATGGCAATATTTTTTTCACATTATCTCTCAGATTTAGAGACTATTAATTTTTTAAGAGAATCACATTAAAAATGTTTTTACTAACATAAAACTATTAACTGCTTTCAGTATGTTTCATCATTTCACATGTTTACCTTTTACAATTTAAATACATTTTACAGATTATGAAATGCAGAAAGTTTCACTGCCCACTTTGCTTTGTAAAATATCAATTTTCATTTAGCACATTATAAAAAGTCTCTTCGATTAAAAATAGTCAAGAGAACTTACCTAAACCTTCCAAATTATTCTGTAAGACTATATACAGAAGTCAGTTTCAATGTTCTTTCTTCTAAACTGTAAAGAGCAGCACTGAAAAGAAAATCTTCAGATGATGTCAGATTAAGTTACAAAAGCATTTAGAGTGTGGAAGGCTTTGTGTCTAGTTGAAAGAATGCTTTACTGCGCACAACTGACAGACAACTGCCTGAAATTCCATCCCTGTGTCCAATCAAGTAAGAAGAAAATGGATTTGCATTAACCGTATTCTTAGATATCAGGAAACATTTTTCTTATATACAGGAAAGCTAGAAAAGTATTGCTAAAGATAAGGAACAAAAAGCATATATGAAAAAAGATACAATTTCTAAAAGAAATTTTTATTTTTTATTTTTATTGGTTTTTAAAACAAACATAAACAAACAAAACATAAAAACATAAAGCCATCCTCCATATATATACATACAGTGTGCCGGTTGGTTTACAAATTGTTTTGTGCTTCTATTTCGTAGTCTTCAATTACAATTATATTGTATATAATCTCATATTTTCAATCAAAAATTAAATACATTAATATCATTATTAATCAATCATTTGACTATACTTTTATTCATTCATGTTTTACGAAATAATCATATTTTACTTAATTTGTTTTATGACAGTTCATATTATCATCCCAAATCTATCCTAGAATCATTTTGTAGATATAAGAAAAGAATACATCTTTATATATTTATTATTTTCTAAAAGTCTACATATTTCATCACTATATTTTATTGTCTAACCATTGGTAGAATAGATCCCAAATTTTATAAAATTGTTCATCATCTTGTTCTCTAATTTCAAATGTCAATCTACTCATTTCAGCACATTCCAATATTTTCTTAATGATTTCTCCTGTGATGGTGTTTTCTCATTTTTCCAGGTTTTAGCAAATACAATCCTAGCCGCTGTTAATACATTTACAATCAGGTATTTCAAGTCTTTACTATATATTTCAGGTAAAATTCCCAATAAAAATATCTCTGGTTTAAAATCTATATGGTTTTTTTGTCATTTTTTCCAACCACGTGTGGATTTTAGTCCAGTATTTTTTAGCATCCGCACAAGTCCACCACATATGGTAATATGAGCCAGGTGTCTGATGACATTTCCAACATTTTTCGGATTTATTCTTGAACATTCTTGCTATTCTTGTCGGGGGGAAATGCCACCTGTAAAACATCTTATTCAAATTTTATTTATATGCTGTTGACATTGTCATTTTATAATTTTGAGACCACAATTTTTGCCATTTCTCTAAATCAATCCCATATCCAAAATTCTTCCCCCAAGCAATCATAGTTTCTTTAACTTGTTCTTCTTCTAGTTTAATTTCTAATAGATATCCATACAATTTTTCAATCACCTTTTCATCAGTACCTGTCAAAATCTTATCTAAGTCAGTCAGTTTATCATAGAAACCTTCTGTTTTAGAATCTTTATCATAACTTGAATGTATTTGCGCATATGAAAACCAATTCATCTTTATACCTTGTTCCTCTAGTTTTTGTATAGATTTAAGTTCACCCTTTTTATTCAATATTTCACCATATCTAACTGTTTGTTCCTTTTTGTATATTGTAGGATAAGAAAATGCTTCAATAGTCGATAGCCAGACTGGAATTTTCAAATAACATTGTCTTTTAATCTTCTCCCAGTTTAACCACAGAGACTCCCATATATAATGTCTTCTAAAATACCCCTGTGTTTTAGTTCCTTTATACCATAAAAAAGCATGCCACCCCAACAACAGATCATGTCCTTCTAATGTCAACAATCTAGTATTTCTTAATGTTATCCATTCCTTAACCCACATCAAATTTGTAGCTTGGTAATACAACTCCCAATTAGGCAAGCCAAATCCTCCTCTTATTCTGGCATCTTGCAAAAGTTTTAACTTTATTCTC